GAGTCCATTTCATCCATTTGACAACTAGCTTTGGAGTTTGAAGAAGTGTTGGACAGAAAATTAACAAAAAAAACCGCACCAGAGGCAATTTTGTCATTTGTCCCGACGGCGTCGGAATGGGCTAAAATTTGGCAAGTTGATTGAAAACGGCCCAAAAAACTGGACTCGAGATGAAGTCTCGAGATCTCGGGACTCTGCCCTGATTCCAATTGACAACTACTTTTGGACTTTAAAGAAGTGTTGGACAAAAAATTAACAAAAACAATCGCACCAGAGGCAATTTTGTCATTTGCCGCGACGGTGTCGGAATGGGCTGAAATTTGGCAGGTTGATTGGAAACGGCTCGAGAAATTGGACTCGAGGCGAAGTCCTGAGATCTCGGGACTCCACCCCGAGTCCAATTGACAAATAGCTTTGGAGTTTGAAGAAGTGTTGGAAAGAATATTAACAAAGAAAAATCGCACCAGGACAATTTTGTCATTTGTCACGACGGTGTCAGAATGAGCTGAAATTTGGCAGGTTGATTGGAAACGACCCAAGAAATTGGACTCAGAGCTACGTCCCAAGATCTCCGGACTCCGCCCTGAGTCCAATTGACAACTAGTCCTGGAGTTTAAAGAAGTGTTGGACAGAAAATTAGCAAAGGAAAATCGCACCAAGGTAAATTTTGTCATTTGTCACGACGGTGTCGAAATGGGTTGTAATTTGGCAGGTTGATTGAAAACGGCCCAAGAAATTGAACTCGGGCCGAAGTCCCGACATCTCGGGACTCCGCCCCGAGTCCAATTGACAACTTGTTTTGGAGTTTGAAGAAGTGTTGGGCAGAAAATTAACAAAGGAAAACCGCACCAGGGGCAATTTTGTCATTTATCGCGACGGTGTGGGAATGGGGGGCTGTAAATCGGCAGGTTGATTGGAAACGGTCCGAGAAATTGGACCCGAGGCGAAGTCCCGAGATCTCGAGACTCCACACCAAGTCCAATTGACAACTAGCTTTGGAGTTTGATGAAGTTTTGGACAAAAAATTAACAAAGAAAAATCGAACCAGTGGCAATTTTGTCATTTGCCGCGACAGTGTCAGAATGGGCTGAAATTCGACAGGTCAATTGGAAACGGCCCGAGAAATTGTACTCGGGGTGAATTCTCAAGATCTCGAGACTCCGTCCCTAGTCCAATTAACAACTGGACTTGGAGTTTGAAGAAGAGTTGGACAAAAAATTAACGAAGAAAAATCGCACCCGGGGCAATTTTGTCATTTGTCGCGACGGTGTCGGAATGGGTTGGAATTTGATAGGTTGATTAGAAACGGCCCGAGAAATTGGACTCGGGGCGAAGTCCCAAGATCTCGAAACTCCACCCCGAGTCCAATTGACAACTAGCCTTGGAGTTTGAAGAAGTGTTGGACAGAAAATTAACAAAGGAAAACCGTACCGGGGGCAATTTTGTCATTTATCGCGACGGTGTCGGAATGGGCTGTACTTTGGCAGGTTGATTGGAAACGGCCCCGAGAAATTAGACTCTGGGTGAAGTCCCAAGATCTCAGGACTCCACCCCGAGTCCAGTTGACAACTAGCTTTAGTGTTTTAAGAAGTGTTGGACAGAAAATTAACAAAGAAAAACCACACCAGGGGCAATTTTGTCATTTGTGGCAACTATATCGGAATGAGCAGAAATTTTGCAAGTTGATTGGAAACGGCCCAAGAAATTGGACTCGGGGTGAAGTCCCGAGTCCAATTGACAACTAGCTTTGGGCTTTGAAGAAATATTGGACAGAAAATTAAAAAAGAAAAATCGCACCAAGGGCAATTTTGTCATTTGTCGTGACGATGTCGAAATGGGCTGAAATTTGGCAGGTTGATCGAAAACGGCCCGAATTGGACTCAAGGCGAAGTCTCGAGATCTCGGTACTCCACACCGAGTCCAGTTGACAACTTACTTTGGAGTTTGAAGAAGTCTTTGATCAAAATTAACAAAGAAAAATCGTAGCAGGGGCAATTTTGTCATTTGTTCGATGGTGTCAAAATGGGCTGAAATTTGACAGGTTGATTGGAAATGGCTCGAAAAATTGGACTCGAGGTGAAGTCCCGAGATCTCGGGACCTCAACCTGAGTCCAATTGACAACTAGCTTTGGAGTTTGAAGAAGTGCTGGACAGAAAATTAACAAAGATAAACCGCACCAGGGACAATTTTGTCATTTGTACCGATAGTGCCGGAAAGGGCTAAAATTTGGCAGGTTGATTGGAAACGGACCGAGAAATTGGACTCGTGTTGGACAGAAAATTAACAAAGAGAAACAACACCGGGGGCAATTTTGTCATTTGTCCCGATGGTGTGGGTATGGGATGTAATTTGACACGTTGATTGGAAACGGCCCGAGAAATTGGACTCGGGTCCAATTGACAACTAGCTTTGGAGTTTGAAAAAGTTTCGGACTAAAAATATACAAAGGAAAACCATACTAGGGGCAATTTTGTCATTTGTCACGACGGTGTCGGAATGGGCTGAAATTTTGCTGGTTGATTGGAAACGGCCCGAGAAATCGGACTCGAGTTGAAGTCCCGAGATCTCGAGACTCCACCCCGAGTCCAGTTGACAACTAGCTTTGGAGTTTTAAGATGTGTTGGACAGAAAATTAACAAAGAAAAACTGCACCATGGGCAAATTTGTCATTTGTCGCGTCGATGTCGAAATGGGCTGAAATTTAGCAGGTTGATTGGAAACGGCTCGAGAAATTGGACTCGGGACGAAGTCTCGAGATCTCGAGACTCCGCCCCGAGTCTAGTTGACAACTAACTTTGGAGTTTTAAGAAGTGTTGGACAGAAAATTAACAAAGGAAAACCGCACCAGGGGCAATTTTGTCATTTGTCGTGACAGTGTCGGAATGGGCTGAAATTTGGCAGGTCGATTGGAAATGGCCCGAGAAATTGGACTCGAGGTGAACTCCCAAGATCACAGGACTCCACCCCGAGTCCAATTGACAACTAGTTTTGGAGTTTGAAGAAGTGTTGGACAGAAAATTAACAAAGAAAAACTACACCAGGGGCAATTTTGTCATTTGTCGCGACGGTGTCGGAATGGGCTAAAATTTGGCAGGTTGATTGGAAACGGCCCGAGAAATTGGACTCGAGGCGAAGTCCCGAGATCTCGGAACTGCACCCCGAGTCCAATTGGGAACTAGATTTGGAGTTTGAAGAAGTGTTTGATAGAAAATTAACAAAGAAAAACTGCACCATGGGTAATTTTGTCATTTGTCGCGACGGTGTTGGAATGGACTAAAATTTGGCAGGTTGATTGGAAACGGCCCTAGAAATTGGACTCGTGGTGAAGCCCTGAGATCTCGGGACTCCGCCCCGAGTCCAATTGACAGCTAGCTTTGGAGTTTGAAGAAGTGTTGGACAGAAAATTAACAAAGAAAAATCACACCAGGGGCAATTTTGTCATTTGTCGCAACGGTGTCGGAATGGGCTGAAATTTGACAGGTTGATGGGAAACGGCCCGAAAAATTGGACTCGGGGCGAAGTCCCAAGATCAATTGACCACTAGCTTTGGAGTTTGAAGAAGTGTAGGACAGAAAATTAACAAAAAAAAATCGCACCAGGGGCCATTTTGCCATTTGTCGCGACAGTGTCGGAATGGACTGAAATTTGGTAGGTTGATTGGAAACAGCCCGAGAAATTGGACTCGGGTCCAAATGAAAACTAGCTTTGGAGTTTGAAGAGGTGTTGGATAGAAAATTAACAAAGAAAAACAACCCCAGGGGCAATTTTGTTATTTGTCGCAACGGTTTCGGAATGAGTTGAAATTTGGCAGGTTGATTGGAAACAGCCCGAGAAATTGGACTCGGGGTGAAGCCTCGAGATCTCTGGACTCCACCCGGAGTCCAATTGACAACTAGCTTTGGAGTTTGAAGAAGTGCTGGACAGAAAATCAATGAAGAAAAATCGCACCAGGGGTAATTTTGACATTTGTCGCGACGATGTCGAAATGGGAAGAAATTTGGCTGGTTGATTGAAAACGGCCCGAGAAATTGGACTAGGGGTGAAGTCCCGAGGTCTCGAGACTTCACTCGAGTCCAATTTCGAACTAGCTTTGAAGTTTAAAGAAGTGTTGGACAGAAAATTAACAAAGAAAAATCGCACCAGGGACAATTTTATCATTTGTCGCGATGGTGTCGGAATGGGTTGAAATTTGACAGATTGCTTGGAAACGGCCCGAGAAATATGACTTGGGGCGAAGTCCCGAGATCTCGGGACTCCGCCCCAGTCCAATTGACAAATGAAAAAATTGCCCCTGGCGCAATTCTTTCTTGTTAATTTTCTGTTCAGCACTTCTTCAAACTCCAAAGATAGTTGTTAATTGGACTCGGGGCCGAGTCCCGAGATCTCGGGACTTTAGCCGAATTCCTTCGTTTAGGCCTCCGAATAATTAATTTCCGTATTTCCCGTTTTAAATTTTCGCTATTTTTTGAACGTTTATTTTTTCTATGTTTTAGGGTTTCTTGTAACGCCTATTTAATGGCTTTTGGAACGTTTTCCGTCATCATTGAAGAATATACAAGTTTCATTCTTGAAGATTCCAATTTTCTTATTTTAAAGATTTACGTTGGTAAATCTTTTGTTTTTTCTTATTTCCGTTCTGCGTCACATTTTCATCTGTAAAAAATCAAATATCTAAAGAGATCAAGAAGAGACAATGAAACTTGGGGATTCAGACATTGCAGAATGGATTACATAGGGTAATTTCTTATTCTATCTTTATCACTCAAATACGAAGAGCAGCAAAAATTTATTCAATAGCCGAATCAATTGTTGCTATCAATTCGAATAATACACTTAATGTTTGGGTCATCTTTTTCCGTTATGTCCTATTCATGAAGAACAGATTGAGAGATTCATTCTAAAAGATGGTCAATGTTCTTAGCATGGGTATAGTAAAAAAAAAAAAAAATCTTTCTTAAAACCTAACCTAAAACATATTGTCTACCTATCGAATCATGCATCAGTCGATCGGCATCTCAAAACGGCAGACTGGACAATAATGACTCATCTTGAGCCATTGTGTAATGCAATTACTATGAAACATATGCAAGCACGGCATACACGTAGTTACAATTCCTTTGTAGAACTTGTCCAAACATATACTGCAACTCTCGTAGTCATTATTCTCGTCATCTAATTTCTTCATCTCAAGCGATTTGATCGACGAATCAGTAGCTGGAATCATATTACAGTCGTTATCTTCTTCTATCGACTGCTGCAATATCTCATTGTACATTCGTGAATATTCATGAATAAGGTTTTCACTATAAACCACCTTTGCTTTAACATCAAGAAATATAACGCTGTGATTAGAAGACAATCGTTCTGCAATTTCTTGTGCACGTTGAATCACATTCTGAATCACACTTTCCCGACGACAATTACATATTTGCCAAGTCCTGACAGTTTGGTCGATAATTTCATGCATCTTGTTATGGCTGGAGAATTCTTCGGGTTCAATGTACACGTGATTTGAGATTCCTTCCATTCCAAATTGTTCGCCATCCTGGAGACGAAGAACCCGCTGGCAAGAAAACTTAATCGAAAGTGCAAGTTTGTATTGGCCGTGCCGTATTATTAATCCGGGGAGCTCGTCAATTTCAAAGGATTCAATATCGTGGGATGCATGGCTAAAATCCATGTTAGAGAGAGAGAGAGAGAGAGGAAGGAATATGAGACCTGCTGGCAATTTCTCAGAAGTTGAGGTGAGGTATATATGGGGTAATTGGGATCCGTGTGGGAAGAGACCGGATCGCAGTTAATTGGTAAGTACATAGATATGGAAATAATATAAAATCCTTGTTAGTTATTAATTATTACGAATCTTAATAATTTCAAATTTATTTGTTATACTTTCCTTTTTGACTTCACAAACTAGTTTACCTTTGCATCTGCTCAACGGATGTATATGGATAATATTGCATTCGAGGTCCTTTTTTTAAATATTGTGTAATATAAATTTAATGTCGAGGTCAATGGTTTTTTTTCTTTTTTTTTTTTAGAAAAAAAAAAGAAAAAAAGACTGGGAGTTTTTTTTTTTTTTTCGAAGAGTTTGATTGACAATCCATTATATTTCTCTCAAAAAAGAAAAAACATAACATTGAGGTCAATTGACACTGCATTTTATACAAGTAACATATTCCTTCTAGGTAATTGGTATGGACAAATTACCAATTACTTGTAGAATCCTTTATTAACTTCAAAAACTAGTTTACTGTTGAAGTTATCGTTTACGTCGAGGTCAAGGAATCTTCAAATAGTTTAAAAAAATGAAAAGGGAAAAACCAGAGAAAATGAATTTATCTAAAAGAAAAGAGTTTTGATATTAAAAAAGTTAAAAAAAAGGTTTCAATATGAAAAAACTGTGAACTTTTTCGAAGAGTTTGTTTGACAAAAAAAAAAAAGAAAAAAAAAGAGAAAATAAGAAAAGACAAATGGAAAAGAAAAAAAGAATTAATATTAATTTCACAAAAAAAAATTGTTTCTTTTATTCATTTCATTAAACCTATCAGTTAACGTAGCTAGTATTATGGCACTACTAGTACTACATAACATAATTCAAATATATATTGGTCACTAAATTTTTTGTTCCATATCAGTCCTACGTGTCTACCAATTATTCCGACGTGGACAAACAAAACGTAGGTGCAATGCCATGTGGGAGATAAAAAGCACATTTTTCATTACAGCACTATAGTTTGATTTGTTTCAAACTAGTCACTAAAGTTACGTTTCAATTCCAAATTAGTTACTAAAGTTGCATTTTATTCCAAATTATTCACTACCCACCAACAGTCCAACTTGGAAAAGTACTTAAGTGGTAGATTATTAATAAACACACTACATAATCGAATTATTCAAAGAGAATAGGCCATTTAAAAAATATTACCCAAAATTTATTACAACTAAGTAATCTTCTGTTGAGGTTAGATTGCTGCCACGATATCGTCATCACATAGATATTTCAATATTGGTATCTCACAATATGGTGCTATGATAGAATGTGCTATGACCAAAGGCGTCTCCCATGGAAAATAATGTTACAATCTCAAGTGACTTGTGTGATGATTCTAAATCTGCATGTTCATAATATATTCTTCTAATAGACATTTATGTTAAGAATTACCATGCATGGTATAGAGGTACACGACGAAGGAAATGATTAAAGTTGAATGGAATTTAAAAAAAAAAAAAAAAAAAAAAAAAAAAAAAAAAAAGGACATTTGCTTAATTAGACTATAAAGTCGAAAACCGTCTGTAAACCAAACAAAAAATCAAACTTTCGATTAAAATGTTATATTTGGGATAATTTTTGAAATTTCATAACTGTGTATGCAATATGACATACAAAACTAATAATTTGATTTAGATAAATTAAAGATGAGTGACCCAATTGATATTTTCAATAAAAAGTTACCAAAATTGGTATTAACCATGTCATCACACATCATTAACGATCCACTATATTTAACGTTTCATTGTAAATCGGACGTTGATTTCTCTAATAGGAGGCAACAAAATGGCAATAATTTATAGTAGATTGAAGTTTCATGATGATGCGATTGAAACAAATTAGAGATGAACGATCCAATTGAAATTTTACTGAAAGTTCAATAATCAAATATGAAATTGACCTTTTTTATTCAATTAAAAAATATTCTTTCTGTTGTTATTTTTATTGACATTGAGAAATATAAAGTCAACATAAATTTATGAATTCCACAAAAGTTCATCGCATAAAAAAGATATAAAATTCTTGAAAAGTCTAAATTGAATTTACCCTCAAATCATTACAAATTGAAATTAAAAAAAGAAGTATATATTTAAACCTAAAATATTCATCTCCCCACTGAATCATGCAACACATCTCTAGCTAGTTGGCATCTCGAAACGGCAAACTGGACAATAATGACTCGTTTTTAGCCATTTTCTAACGCAATTACCATGAAACATATGCGAGCATGGCATATGTGTAACTTTAGATCTTTTGGAGAACTTTTCCAAGCATATTGTACAACAATCACAATTATTGTTCTCGGCATCTAGTTTCTTCCGCTTCAGTGATTTGATTGACGACTTACTAGCTGGAACCATATCATAGTCATTGTTTTCTTCTATTGACGGTGGCAATCTTCGTGATTCACTAAATATAACATGATAAGTAATCACGTTTACGTCAACATCAATATGTAAAACATAATGACCTAGAGAAATTGATTCTACCATTGCTTTTGTCCTCGAAAACACATCCTTGATCAAAATTTTACGAGTGCCACTACGTATTGGCCAAGTCCGAATAGCGTCATTGATGATTTTACGCATCTTCCTATAGGACAAGGATCGTTGAGGTTCCAAGTATAGATATTTCCAAATTTTTCGCTCTGGAATTTCTGTTACAACTTGTTCGCCGTCTTCGAATTTGGTGTCGTGAAGCCAAGATTGACAAGAAAAGACATACTTGATTTCAACTATGGAGGACATGAGCGGGTTCTGGCATGCAACTTCTTCTTCGCCCTTCTTTGTAATGTCAAAGTATATAACTTTGTCACCGGATTCGTTTTCCATGTTTGAGAGAAAGAAGTAAGAATTATTTGCAGGAGAAAATCGCTCAAACCTTGAGGTATATATAGCTCAGAGGGGGATCCGTGTGGCAGTTAATTAGTAAGTATATATTACCTATTACTTTCAGATATGGAAACAAAATAGAATCCCTATTAATTATTAGGAAACATTAATAATTTCAAATTTGTTTGTTACTTTCCTTTTTTACTTCAGAAACACAAACCAGCTTACCGTTTGTTTCTCAACATGCAAATTATTATCATCATCATCATCATCATCATCATCATCATCATCATCATCATCATCATCATCATCATCATCATCATCATCATCATCATCATCATCATCATCATCATCATCATCATCATCATCATCATCATCATCATCATCATCATCATCATCATCATCATCATCATCATCATCATCATCATCATCATCATCATCATCATCATCATCATCATCATCATCATCATCATCATCATCATCATCATCATCATCATCATCATTATTATTATTGTTATGTATTATTGTAATAAAATTCGACTTTGAGGGTTTCCAAACAGTGCAAAGGGGAATATAAATTCACGAACAGGAAAAACTCTGTATGTGTGTGTGTATTTTTTTTATTTTTTTTGTCTGAGGAAAATTTTTGACTATCCATTATTGTTTAGCATAAATTTTCGTCGAGGTCAAGGATTTTTATTCCTTTTTCTTTTCGTTTCGTTTTATTCCATATCTTTTTGGACTGTGGTAAAAATATATTTGACCACGGAATTTATGGAAAAAACAATTAAAGTTAATTACTAAAGTTTAATTTATTCCATATTAATCCTCCGTGTCTAGCAATTATTCCTACATGTATAAACAAGACGTTGGTGTAATGCCACGTGGAAGATAAGAAGCACGTGTCAGTAAATACAATAGTTCGATTTGTTTCAAAATAGTCACTAATGTTCAATTTTAATTCCAAATTATTTACTAAATTTGCATTGTATTCCAAATTAGTCACTAACCAAATTGAAAAAATTTGCAAGCAGTAGAATATTAATAAAACACTACATAATCGAAATATTCAAAAAGAGTAGGATGTCTGAAAAACTTACCCAAAATTTGTTACAGCTAAAGAATCTTATATTGGGATTAGATTGTGGCCACGATGTCTTTGTCACACAACTATATATTTCCGTATTGAAATTTAATGTTACAATTCAAGGTGTCTCACACAATGATCTACATCTACATCTTCACTTTAAATTGCTATAAGAGAGAGTCAAATTACCTTCTTCTTCTTCTTCTTCTTTTTTTTTTTCTCTTTTTTAATCTCATAGATTTATTCAATTCAATTTGGAAATGTTCTTTTCAATGCTATTTCTTGTTTCCAGCAGGTATGATGTTAATTTTTGCCTGTTAAATAGTCTCCTTCCATGTTTTGTAATTTGTATTGCAGACATATATTCTTTCCATATTCGTTAATGGTACTCTCTTTTATTGGGTTAGTTTCAATTGGACGTAATATCACTAACGGGAGATAACAAAGTGATTAACTTTAAAAGTAAAGAGAAGTTCAATAATTTGATTGAGATAAATTAAAGATGAGTGACAAAATTGAAATTTTCACTAAAGAGTGAATAAAAGTGATATTAACCATGTCACCACGCATCAATAATCCATCGTGTTTTAACGTTTCCATGATTTGATTGAGCAAAATTAAAGATGATTTTATTCAATTAAAAATATATTCTTTTCCTAGTCATTTTTATTGGCACGAAAAATATAATTTTGTTATTATGTGTTATGAACCATCTTGCAGTAGCGGTCCGAAACGATATAACTTTGCACTATAGAAATAAATAATTCAATAAAATAAGGATATGCAATAATCAGTTATATAAGTTTTTATTATTATTATTATTATTATTATTTTATTTTTTGGGTGAAATGGAAATCTTTAGAAGTCATACGAGTTCTATAAAAATAAAAAATTCTTTAAATGAAGAATTACACGGAAGTTTTTACTTGAAAAAGACTATAAATTATTTAAAAATCTAAATTGAATACACCCTCCAAAACATTATAAATTTAAAAAAAAAAAGTTCGTATTTAAACCTAAAATATTTGTTTTCGTGCTAGACATCTCTAACTAGTTGGCATCTCAAATCGGCAAACTGGACAATGATGGCTTGTTCTTAGCCACTTTTTAATGCAATTACCATGAAACATATGTGAGCATGGCATGTAAGTGATTTTAGACCTTTTAGAGAATTGATCCAAGCATATTGTACAAGAATCACAATTATTATTCTCGTCATCTAATTTCTTTCTCTTGAGTGATTTGATTGACGACTGACTTGCTGGAATCATATTATAGTCACTGTTTTCTTCTATAGAATGTTGCAATACACGATTTAAAGTTTGTGATTCACCAATAGTATAATGATAAACCGCGTTTACATCAACATCAATATGTAAAGCATAATGACCCGAAGACATTGATTCCGCCATTGCTTGTGTACTCAAAAACACTTCCTTGATCAAACTTTTACGAACACCATTACATATCGGCCAAGCTCCGAGAGCATCATTCACGATTTCATGCATCTTCCTATAGGACAAGAACTGTTGAGGTTCCAAGTATACGAAATCCCAAATCTTTTCCTGTTGGATTTCAGTTTGAACTTGTTCACCATATTCGAATTTGGTGTAACGAAGCGTAGTTTGCCAAGAAAAATCATACATGATTTGAATTGAGGAGTACATGAGCGGGTTCTGGCATGCAACTTCTTCTTCGCCCCTCTTTGTCATGTCAACGTATATAACTTTGTTGGATTGATAATCCATGTTTGAGAGTTATTTGTCGGAGAAAATTTCTCAAAACTTGAGGTATATATAGAGAGAAATCCGTGTGGCAAGAGGATTGCAGTTTATTGGTATGTTTATATTACCTATATATTACTTGTAGATAAGGAAATAATATCTATAGAATCCTTACAAGTTATAACGAACCTTAATAATTTCAATTTTTTTAGTTATTCTTTCCTTTTCACTGTTGCTTCTACATATGCAAATTGCTATTTTTATTTTTTTTTAACTATTGTGATATAATCTAAATTCGAGGTTGAGGGTTTTTCGGACAGCGCAAAGGTGGAATATTAATTCATGAGCAAATGAATTATAAGAAATAAAATACGCTTCTGTTGATGCTAAATATGCAGTAGTGTAATATTTTGGACAATCCATTATTCTGCAAAAACAAAAGAGAAACGAAGAAGACATAAGACCACAAGAAAAAAAGGAAATAATTAAAACTTTGAATTGGCGATGAACTGCCTAAAAAAGGATTTATTTTACAAGAACTTTGTTCTTTTTCTTCTTTTACTTTTCTTCTCTGTTTATTTTTTATTTTATTTTTTGGGATTGGCTATAAAACATATGTAAAATTTTAAGTTGATCACTAAAGTTTAATTTATTATATATTTATCACTATTGTGATATAATCTAAATTCGAGGTTGAGGGTTTTTCGGACAGCGCAAAGGTGGAATATTAATTCATGAGCAAATGAATTATAAGAAATAAAATACGCTTCTGTTGATGCTAAATATGCAATAGTGTAATATTTTGGACAATCCATTATACTGCAAAAACAAAAGAGAAAAGAAGAAGACATAAGACCACAAGAAAAAAGGAAATAATTAAAACTTTGAATTGGCGATGAACTGCCTAAAAAAGGATTTATTTTACAAGAACTTTGTTCTTTTTCTTCTTTTACTTTTCTTCTCTGTTTATTTTTTATTTTATTTTATTTTATTTTTTGGGATTGGCTATAAAACATATGTAAAATTTTAAGTTGATCACTAAAGTTTAATTTATTATATATTTATATACTAAATATAATATGTGAAAAATAACTATCTTAGATGAAGTGCCCGATTGGTAGGAAGTGTGAAATTTGTGCTAGAGCTCTGGGATTCGAGTCACATCCCATGCTATAATTAAAGCCCCTATTTGACAACCATTATAAAGAAAAAAAATTGGGGTAAAATGTATTTTGCAATAATAGTTTTTGGGAAATGTGTTTTTAAAAATGAAGAATTTTTTTTAATTTACTTGCAATATTATTTTATTAAAGAATATTTGATTAAAAAAGAAGAGAGAGAAAAATGTATTAAAATTTTAAAGAAATCAAACAAGGGCAAAAAAGTCTTCGATTTTGGGCTCTTGGACTTCCTTGATTAAAATGATAAATTTTTTTTTTTAGTTATTTTAATCATTTTCAAAAAAAAAATTAATGGGTCAAACTAACCAATATAACATAACCGTTTTTCAACAATCAATTATCCACATTCTATTAAAAATGCAAATCTTCTGAATCATGGTAGATGTAATTATATCTATTTTGCCTATATATTCACTTATCTGATATTGAAAAATCGCATAAAAAACGAAACTATAGCTTTCATATTATGTAATTTTCACACTTGAGTTTTACATATTTTCTGAAGTACATTCTAGATTTCTGAAGCCATTCGTGATTGTTACATAAATGATTTTTTTTATCGTTGTATCTTGAGGGTGATTGTCCACAGAGGTTGCAACAGTTATCGACATTCAATTTCACTTTAAGACGTCGTATTGTTATGAAACTCGATCAGTCGATAAGTTTTACATTTACATTTTACTATTCTTCAAGTTATTGTAGTTAGTTATTGTCGAATATAATTTACTATGAAAAATGTTATAAATAGATTATTCTGCCAGACGTTTGTGCAATACCATGCAAGAGATAAAAGCACATTTTTCAAAGTAGTTTAATTTGAGTTATAAGAGCATATTCAAGTGATTCTCTATTTTTAAAGAGTATATTCCATAATTTAGAGAGCATCTATAAAGTTAGAAAGTAAAAATTTTGAAATACTCTAACAGACACTTTATATTTAACATTTAATTTTACTACTCTCAAAAAAATATTTATTATTTTTGTCTATATTTTATTTATATTAACTTTTCTCTAGATTATTATATTATTATACTACATTAAAATTTTGAATATTTTGAATGTGTTTAATTATAGAGAGTGAATTTGGCTCTTTAAATTTGGAGAGTCAAACCTACTCTATAAATTAAAATATTAATTTAAAGAGTCTCTCAAAACATAATTTTAAGGGATGACTTTTTAAAATAAAAAAAATTATATTCTGAATTAATCACTAGGTCTACAACTTTACAAACTGTGTAAATTGTAGATTCTTAAAAAAGAAATAAAGCCTTGTGTACAGGGCAAATATTCACAAGGGTCTTAAAGACCTCTCACATGGGTCAGCCCCGATGCAATAAAAAATAAAGAAAAAAAAAACCTGGCCCTACCCATATGAGACCCCGTAAGGGGTCTATAAGAGCTCGGTCCTAAAAAAAGCTTCACAATTGCAAAGCTTATTTAAATTTTGTTACAGCTAAGAAACTTCCATTGAGGTTGGATTGTACCTCGTTAAAAGTGTACTAAGACCATAGTCATTGACAATTAAAATTGACGGATCATTATAAATCAACTAAAGAAAATTAGAGGAATAACTGTGCATGTATTGAAATATCATGGGAAGAAGAAAGATCTTATTGAGTAAGATTTTGTAGGTGATACTGAGAGAAGGATTAGCTTGGTCCTTGTCGAGATTTTGCTTCATTATATACGCTTCAAAATAGAGACTTACCATCCCTCTATTTTGTCAAGCTACAATATATGCTTTCGAATTTAATTGGCATGCCACCATCCTGCTCAAATGAATTTCATTGATTGAGAAGTTTGGCCACATCACACTATCATATACCTAAATCGTAACTTGTGATCTAGATCATCATTGTTTGCAACTTAGACAATCATTACTTTCTTTTTATTAGTAAGCATGACAATGCTAAAATATGAGGTGACACCTTCTTTCCCTAATTGATAGCTATGGGATATTTGATGTCATTGGGGAACATTCCTCTAGTTTACTCATAATGATGTTCTTGGATGACAATGACTTTTGAGTGTTCTACCATGTCAAGTTCTTCGGTCTAACCTCGTCTTACTATCTTGAACGTTGAGTGATTAGCTTCTTTAATTACATTTTAAGTGGTTCCACACTTTGTCCGATGTTGCCTCTTCAGAGCGGACTCCAATAATTTTTATGATACTTGAAACAGTGTTAAATTTCAAATTCGATTGTTATATTACGAAACATTAATAATTTCAAATTTGTTTGTTACTTTCCTTTTTTACTTCAGAAACCCAAACCAGTTTACCGTTTGTTTCTCAACATGCAAATTATTATTATTATTATTATTATTATTATTATTATTATTATTATTATTATTATTATTATTATTATTACATCGAGGTCAAGGATTTTTATTCCATATCTTTTTGGAAAGGGGTAAAAAATATATTTGACCACTAAATTTATGGAAAAATTAAAATTAATTACTAAAGTTTAATTTATTCTATATTAATCCTACGTGTCTAGCAATTATTCCTACGTGTATAAACAAAACGTTGTTGCCATCCCACGTGGAAGATAAGAAGCACATGTCAGTAAAGTACAAAAGTTCGATTTGTTTCAAACTAGTAACTAAAGTTCAATTTTAATTCCAAATTATTTACTAAAGTTGCATTGTATTCCAAATTAGTCACTAATCACCAACTTGTTAAACTATTCACGCAGTAGAATCTTAATAAAACACTACATAATCGAAATATTCAAAAAGAGTAGGACGTCTTAAAAACTTGCCCAAATTTTGTTACAACTAGGGAATCTTATATTGGGGTTAGATTGCGGCCACGAGGTCCTTGTCACACAACTATATATTTCTATATTGGAATTTAATGTTACAATTCAAGGTGTCTCACGTAATGATCTAAATCTACATGTTCACTTTAAAATGCTAAAAGAGAGCGTCTTTTTTTCATTTTTATCTCAGTTTTATTCAATTCGATTTCGAAATGTTCTTATCAATACTATTTCTTGTTTCCATGCAGGTATGATGTTAATTTTTGCCTGTTAAATTGTCTCCTTCCATGTTTTGTAATTTGTATTGCAGACATATATTCTTTCCATATTCATTACTAGCACTCTCTTTTATTGGGTTAGTTTCAATTTTGATCACTAAACTTTTATGAAAATCTTAATTGAGTTGCTAGTCTTTAATTTGTGACGATCAAATTATTTAATTTTAATTTACTATCCATGTTAGTCATGATGTTACCTTCCGTCGTTGAAATTAACTAGTTTACGGTTGCATATTCTCAGCACATGATCGCTATTCCAATGCGTAAATTATTGTTTTTTCTACGATACTATATTATAATATTATTTAAATAAACTCAACGTCCAGGGTTTTTCATATATTGCAAATTTTAGTGAATTGAACATCTATGTGGCTAATCATTATGTTTTAACATACAGGTATGAATTGGACGTTAATTCAACTAAATGAAGATAACAAAGTGATTAACTTTAAAAAGTAAATAGAAGTTCAATAATTTGATTGAGATAATTTAAAGATGAGTGGCAAAATTGAAATTTTCACTAAAGTGTGACTTAAATTGATATTAGCCATGTCACCACACGTCAATAATCCATTATGTTTTAACGTTTCCATGATTTGATTGAGAAAAATTAAAGATGGGTTTATTCAATTAAAAATATATTCTTTTCCTTGTCATTTTTATTGGCATGAAAAATATAATTTTGTTATTATGTGTTCTCGATCATCTTGTAATAGCGGTCCGAAATATTGTTACTTTGTACTATAGAAATAAATAATTCAATAAAATAAGGGTATGCAATAATAAGTTA